GATTTCTGCTTAATGTTCACTGATGTTGGTGAGAATCAAGTTACAAACGGATTTTTACAGATTTTTCTCAAAGAAGGTGATATTAAATATATGATCTGAGACCGGTGGTGTCAGTTGGTGTAAAGAAAAATGATACCTTTCTTTACAAACTATAAAGATACTATCCTAATGCCATCAAAACTGGAAAAAAAATTATTCCATATTAATTATGACATATGCTTTTATAGTCACTAACAATCTTGGCCCCTTTCAGTTTATTTCATTTGAAAAGCATGGTAAGTACTCTGAAGGACAGATCCTCTGATACTTTAGTTGTTGACTCAGTGAACAGCATTTTAGTAAAGTGAGCACAATTTTGGTATCATTTGTGAATCTGTTAACCTCAAAATGTCCAAACCATTTACATCTGTGTGTATGAGGTCTTAAATGAGCATAAAATAAAGAAAAAACCTTTCCTATACTACTATCACAAGTAGAGTTCAAAGTGATCTTGTGAAGATAAACAGTCCCCCAAATGCCAGACTACTACTTCAATAATACCAGTTGGTATAAAGTAATTCTTAGAATAGCCATAGTGATTTAAAATGCCTTGAACTGGGAGTACATGTGTATTATATTAGAGCAGTAACTAATAATCCATTTTCCAGGAGAAAAAAATTGCTAGGAGGAAAATTATTACCTCATCCTGAGCTACACTTTTTTGCTATCTAAAATAGCACTTGCCAATATACAGTTGAACATTTCACTACTACACAGCAATAACATGCAAAGTTAGTATGCAGCACTTCACTTTTTCAAAATATTGTAAAAACGTTTACTTGAGTGCCTGTCAGAAATCTAATGGGAATATGAATGCTGAAAATGTAGTAATGTGTGATTTTTATTTTTTTTTTTTTTTTTTTTGGTTGGCATATCAGAATCAAGTATCGTGTGTTTGTCAGAGGAATCTAATGAATTACTAAAGAAATATAATGAGTTATGGAATAAGTATATAGAAATAAATCACTTGAATTGAGCCGTTATTTTCTTTTTAGTTTCTCCTTCAATGTCTTTCTCTTAGTTTCCTCTGATTTCCCTTATTTCTGCTTATGTTCTCTTCATTTCTTGAGAGTTTTAAGTGGTGGTGTGTTTTTCTCCTTCAGAGTTTCTTCACTTTCCATATCTCTCGTTTACATCTAGTTTGCTTTTTGCTATTCTGGCATGTGTATTGTTACATTACTGGCTTCCCAAAGACTGAATGTTTCATTCATGTTTAACTTTGTATTGATTGAACTAAAAGTGTGCTACAGAGTTCCGTTATTCAGATAGAAAGTCAATATAAATTACATATTTTCATACTCTTCTCCCTAGTTTCACTTTGAACACATTTCAAAATAAGTTGTACTGATACTTTGCATTTGAACTCTTTCAGATAATAATAAGCATACAGGAAAAAAAACCTGTTCTTGAAAGATACTTAAATTTCATGTTTACATTTAGCCTTTCAGGATAATAAAAGATAAATGAACTTAGAAACACTTAGCTTAGCATAGATTTGGTTAAAAAATGACTGTCAACCTTTTCTAAGCTGTAGTAACTCTGTTATATCACTAGATACATGTATTTGGAAAAGAGGATGGGGTCTCAGTATGTGTGATCTGGTTTAGCTGGTTTTAAATTTAATTTTGTTATAATTGCCAGATAGCTTTCAATACTAAAATGGAGTAGGGGGTGTGGGGGAGGAGGATAGTCTAATCTTCTTGGAGCAATGTCAAACTTTTAATGAAGGGTTTTTTTTTTTTCAGACTCTTTATGAATTTATCATTTTCCTTTGAGGTAAATTTCATAAAAGCACAGTGTAGGTTGCTTGCTGTGCTACTGTTGTTACAGTAAGCTTTAATGAAACAATAAGCTTCAGCTAACAGTTTTTCCAAGAAACATTTTAAATTAAAACCACTGGAAAAGGTGAAGCATCGTTCTTTCTATACAGTCTTATTTGAGTGTGTTGTTTGGGCAGTTTTCTTCTGTCGGAATTTTTTCTTACAACTGTTGATGTAGTTCATGCTTTACATTTGTGTCACGTATTTTGTACACTTAACTATAAGTAAAAAAGCTTGGTGCAGTCGTGAAATCAGAAGGTACAAAAATGTATGATTTTTCTCTAATAAATTGTTATCAATTAGTTTTCTTTAAAAAAAGCTTTAAAGAATGGAATCAATACCTATTACATTCAATTTAGTGAAGGTGAGATTTTTATGAAAATACTCTTAATCAATTGGTAAAATAAAGAGTGCTCTCAATTTCTGGAAGAGAAATCAAGTGGGAAAATAACAGCAAATTTTTGTTTTGTAAGGTGATGGAAGCATAACCTTAAATAAAATTGATTCAATTCAGTCTGAAAATTCTAATTCACTATAATATAGCTCACTTTAGAGAGTCATTGAATGATAAAGTTGGAAGGAAGATCAAAGGCTGTCTAATACTGCTGTTTATTTGCTTTTAAAGACCTTCAAGACACCTTCAGTGGTGAGCTCCAAGTTTCCCAGGGATGAGATGTTTCAGTGCCTCAGTCTCCTTAAGATCTTTATTTTCTTGTCTTTCTGAGTCTTTCTCCTCCAATTTAAGTCTTTAATCCTTGGCCTATTTGTTATTTATATAGAAAATGAGATTATTCTGATTTTCAATTCATCAGTCTTTTATGTCTTCAGAGAATTTTATGTGCTTCCACTCATAGTCTTATTCCATTGTTTTTTAGACTAAGCAATTCCAAATTGTTCATTCTTTCCTTGCAGGCCATGCTTTCTAGACCTCTTACAACACTTGCTGTTTTCATCTTACATTCCTGTAGTTGATTCATATTCTTCTTTATGAGCCGGGCCGAGAACAGCATACAGTATTGTAAAGTGTCTTCACCAAAGCTTAGGGGGAGGGAGTGGAAGGGTTATGTCATATTTATTTCAAGTGCAGGCTTTGAGTTCACCTTATTTACAGTGCCATGCCATTTTTGATCTAATTTTCTAGATTCTTTCCTACAGATCTGGTATCCCATCAGTTATATACTCAATTTTATGCAGCTGCTTATCCTTGAAATGTGGTGCTTACTACATATACAATAAAGGAGGGAGGGGCGGTGTCCAGCAGTAATAAGTAAAATTCTTATTTTAAAATCCAGTCACCCACGCTATGGTGATTAATTGCAACATTATGTAAAGCAGAGTGGTGACTGGACTCTGGCTCACAACTCACCACCCAGACAATAATTACCACTGTCTATTTGGCTATATTTAAATAGCCTTAACATAGAGGAACCTATGTAAAAGTGGTTTCTGTCTGCTTTCTGAATTCTTTCCAGAGAAATTTTGTGCTACAATACAGTGTCTCTTGTTTGTCGCAATATCAACTGTTCTTGTTTTATGTATTATTTCTCATTGTTGATTTACTTTTTTAAGTATTATACCTTAAACTTGTCAAGATCCCATTGAACTCTAACCCTTTTTGTTAGTGTACTTAATAATTTACACCATAAGTTATGTAGCTTAAGCTACACTTCCTCTACTTTGAATGAAAAAACCATCCAACGTAGCACAGATTTATTAGGTTTCTTTTTTTCCATCGTGGTGTTAATTACTGAGACACATAAAGGAAGCTACTGGTAAGGTCCATCATGTGTGTTCTTATGCATTGGAGTTGCCTAAAAAACCAGTATGTCAGTAGCCTATGGGTCTCCTGCATAATAGCTGCCAATTTATCAGAAATTCGGAAGTGCCATTGAAGTGTTTCTCAGATTCAGATAACTGGTACTTGTGAAATAGCTACTCATGTCAGTGATCCTGTTCTTTGTTAAATTATTTAACTACTGCAGAGCTTTGAAAAATTGACTTAGCAGAAAGTCATTCATTGCTTTAACGAATAGGAGAATCACTTGGAAAGTCCAAGCCACATTATGAACAAGTACTTCAAGAGCAGAAACATAGCTCTACTGAGGTACCTGATTAACCTAAAGCATCATAGATAATTTAATCTGTATGTGCAATGGTTACCAAGAGAAGAACATGAAATTAATCTTTTTGAAAAGAGATATATAAGCATCTTTCTATTTGGTGATAATTTGTGTAACTTTTTCTTTGAATATTTTAGAAGAACAATGCAATACTGCCTACTTTGCCACAGAAAAGGATAGGTGTGAAAAACTTTCTTTATTAAAGTGGATACACCGAGATGATTCAATAGTTTACAGAATACAATTTTTGTCTGTCTTGTTTGTTTTATTAACACAGCTACTTGTTTGTTTGAAAAGCTTTTCCTAATCTAAACTATATTAGAACTGTAATAAAAAGTCAATTTTATAGTATGGTTGACCTATGCAGAGAACGTTTACAGATATTTGTATATAATTCGATATAAGCTCACAGGCACAAAAAGTCTAGCATTAATTGAATAACAAAGGAAGGAGAACTTTAGTGGTAGTTGGATTCATGATGGGGTGTATCAATAGGCATATAAAATGTTCATGTCATTGAGTGGCTGTTTGGGGTGAGAGTTTTCTTTTTAAGCACTTCAGTTGAAAAGACAAGGTACACTATATATATTCAAAAGGTACATTATATATATTTTAGTAAATTGTTTCAACTAACTGGCATTTGAAACAATGTATAATTTGATTTTTCTGAAACTTCTAAGAAAACAGATTTTTATTTTGATAACATGTGACTTTTAAAAGCTCTAATTATGGACTCCTTGTGGTGGAGCTACAAAACACAGTTCAATAGTTAGTTTGATATTCCCAAATTTGATGTTTAATATCTGTAGTTGTGATCAAAGATAATGCTAGAAGGGAGAAGTTAGAAGTCTGTGGGACTGAAAATGTATTTGAAAGACTCCTTATCAGAAGATGAATTGTTTTAATCATCTGTTTCTCCTGATAAAGCATTGTGTTATTCTTATTCCATTTGTCATTTATATCAATATGTAATAATATCTTTTTTATTATTCTTTTGAAATGTATAATCTTCTGCTTCCAGATCCATTTGAGGCTTTCATAATTTTTTCTATTCGACATGAGATCAGAAAAATTGATCTTCACAAACGTGACTACAGCCTCTTAGTTCCTGGTTTAAGAAATACAATAGCGCTTGATTTTCATTTCAGTCAGAGTTTACTGTACTGGACAGATGTGGTAGAGGACAAAATTTACAGAGGCAAACTCTCTGATACTGGAGGTATGAATTTAATCTTTAATTTCTTAACAGTAAGAACAGCTGCAGTTACGGGATGTTAGACCCGTAACTGAGCTACCATTCACAGAAACAGAATTTATGATGGCATTCTGCTTTTAAAAAGGTGTATATCTAGATTGTACTTGATGTAGAGCTAGAAGACTTTCTGTTATAGAAATTTCCTTTTGAAATAGGCTATAGGGGGAAGAAAATGGCAAATGCAAAGGGCTGATATTTCTTCCTGGTCCAATGAGTGCAATACTGATTTTTTCATTTTTTGTAGTTTACCTTCACATTATTAAAAAAAGTATAAGAATTTATCAGATGTCTGATAAATTAGCTGCTCCCACTAGGTGAAAGATTTTGCTTCATAATTTTATAGCATTCAGAAAGACTTGCTCTTGGCCTTGGTGACATAATTATGGCCTATAAATCAATATAATCTCATAATATACACAAAAGTGTTTCTACAGAATGTTCTTTGTTGAAGTGTATGTTCAGGTGCTTTCATTCCTGCATGAGCTAACAGGCATAAGCATGTTTAACTTGCTGCTTTAAAAGTTCACGTATGCATTCATGCCTGTGTTCTCTGACACATTTGGTGTTTGTTTCTTTTTCTTCTCCTTAGTAGATAGTATTTGTGGGTATTTTTATATCCATAGATCCAGACCAGAAAAGAAATATCCTACACTGCTAAATATGTCAAAACAGCCAAAGATTTGCTACTTTTCGTTAATGGTTGTGGTGTTTGTATGAAAGCAATAAGGTAGTCTGTTGTCATCACGCTGTATTACAATCACACTGTGTCAGAACCCAAGTGAATTCTGTACTGTATTAAAAAAAAAAATAAAATTTTACTCTCTCAGCCTTGCAGCTGTCATGAACTTATTTGCATCTGCAAAAAGCACTGTGCCCTCGTGGAAGTCCTGAGGGCTAACAGAGTGCCTCTGTAGTTGCCCTCTGTGTGAAAAATTTTGAGACCCTCCAGAGGAAGCATCTGGTAGGGACGAGCTGTTAGTAGACAGTGACAGTATGAATTGTGCATGTGAATTTGAAGGGACAAAGTTAGGCTATTTATTGTAGAGCTTTTCAAAACCTGTAGTCCAAACAGAGTTCTCCCTGCCATTTCTGTCTTCATCACAATCTTTCAGTTTTCTCTTTTTCTGATTGAGAAAGAACTGAAATAGAGCTGCATGAGTTTTGTCTAATATGTCTAGTCACTGGGAGGCGAAGCATGAGCATGTCGTTCACAGATGCTGCAAAAGAGGTCTCTGGTAATAGAACACATGTACGTCTCCTGTGTTACTCAGCATGTGATCTCTGACCTTTGTTGTAAGTTTCAGAGCTTTACTTGGGAAGGCGTCAGAGAACTAAAAATTTCTGTTGCTGTGGAATGAAGTTTATTTGTATATTGTAAAAAGTGTGCTTATTTACAGCAGTGTATCGTATTTGTAAAGAAAAAATGTCATGTGAAACAAAGTATTATCATCCATCAGATAAATAAAGAATTTACTCCAAGAGCATATGATACTCGTATGTCCATGTTCACTATATCGGACTCTATATTAGTTCTTTAAGACTCTCTCTTCCCCCCCACCCCATCAGATAAATAAAGAATTTACTCCAAGAGCATATGATAGACTCGTATGTCTATGTTCACTATATCGGACTCTATATTAGTTCTTTAAGACTCTCTCTTTTTTTCCTCCCCCCGCCCCCCTTTCTTTTTTTAAGGTGTTAGTGCCATTGAGGTGGTAGTACAACATGGCCTGGCCACACCTGAAGGTCTTACTGTAGATTGGATTGCAGGAAACATATACTGGATAGACAGCAATTTGGACCAAATTGAAGTAGCAAAACTAGATGGCACTTTGAGAACAACGTTAATAGCAGGAGCTATGGAACATCCAAGGGCTATTGCTTTGGATCCCAGATATGGGTAATTATAAAAAGATTACTTTTTTGTGTTGCAAAGTATTTTAAAGGTAGAGCTTTAAATGTGAGATTGATTTCCTTTTGTGCTGTGAGTTATAGTTCCTAGTGTATCTTTAATAGTTCTTGAAAGTATATTTTGAGTGAAATACAATCCATTATTAATGTGTTTTGCCCCAATGAAAAGAGTTAAGAAATGAGTAAGTTGGAAAACACAGGAGTCTGTTGGCAAATTAATTCCCTTGCTATGTGGTTGTTTCATTTAATTTTCAATGTACATAATAGTAACTGGAACCTTTGGTTTAACCTTCCTCTATAGTTAATGGACAGATTTGGGTGTCGCCAAGATGATTCATCTCACTTCGAGACTGATTTTTTTGGTGGGACTGAAGTATAGCTTAGCTGTTACTCGAAGATTGAAAGCCAAGTGAGGCAAAGCGCACCTTTTGTGTTTGGTTCTCCAGCTTTAAAGTGGAGATAATGCTTGCCAACTTCTGTCAGTATTTGTTCTACCTATTCATAAGGGATATTCTATAAACTGGAATATTATTAATCATAAGTAACGAAGTGTAGTAGATTCAGCCCACTACCATAAATATGTATTTTATCTAATGCCTGTCATAATTAAGTGTTTCTAATAAATATTAGAATGTTTTCATAATATCAAACAAAATATTAATTAAAATGTGCGAAAATTGGGTGTTTAAAAAAATATGCCTGATTTTGGTAATATACTAACACAATAAAAACTGGTTTTGCATAAAGTGTAATTTTAACAATCATCAAACATATAAGTGTATTTCACAATTCCATTTTAAAATCTTCACAGTAAAAAAACCCCACCAACATGAAAACTTTGCTTAAGATATTTTGGCTTCCTTTTAAAATTAGCCTTTCATTTTTTGGCAGAGCAAAAATGACCCGTACATACCATTTATATTAAAACTTAAGTCAATCAGCTTAAGTAGTGGAAAGAAAGTAAAAGTGTTCCTGGAACCCTTAACTACCTGTTCAGCCAGGTGTCAGTTCTGATTCTGTATTGAAATTCAGACTACTACTACCAAAATTTTGTGATTCTTGGAGTTAGAGCAGTGTTTTGAGGCTATATGAAATAGCAGACTCATTACAGAAACCTCATTACCCATTATTGTGTGTAGCTGGATCCTCTTATAGAGGCCAAAAGGTAATGGTCAATAGTTACATCTTCTTCTCATAGATACTGTTCTTTCAGAGGGAAAGAATAAAAACACAAATTAAATGTGGCCAAAATTAGTATAAGTTACAATGAGTTTGCAGAGTCATGATACTTAATTCTCTTTAGGAACCTGCTGTGATCTATCATATGTCTTCACTGAATATTTATTTTAGAAACACGGCTGTGGACATAAAAGTAGATAAAGATCCCAGATTCTGGGACTTGAAGTCTTTCTGGCACTTAAATTCTGAATTAGAAAGTACATACTCTAATGAGTAAGAATACTACCCTCTCAATTCAGATGCTAGAAAGCTTATTTACAGTCTGCATTGCTTATCTATAGAGATCTTTAAAAAGAGGCATCCTATTGGCAGAAGAATTGATAGATAAGTTGTTCAAATTAAATGGTTGGGAGGAAACAAACAAACAAAAATAAAATCACCACTCTTCCTGAAACTGAAGGCTTAATCTGCCTTTCGAAAAGCTAGAAGCAATTGTATGCTACATTTTGTTAGAAGTGAGGAAAGAATAAAATCTTTGAACACAAATGAGGGCGGCCCCTCAAATCTTTTCACAAAAAAATATGAATAAACAAACACTGATGATTCAAAGTAAATGGTTATGTTAGGATCGCACAAATCCTGTATCCCAGTGGAGGTGTGGCTACCATAGCTACACTCCAACCTCCAGTGAGGCTGAGCATTCATCCTCAGTCCACACAGACACAGGCGCACATATAAATAAATGTATATACATAAACATGTGTGGCCTCATAGGTCTACACAGGCAGAAACTCTCAGCACTGAGACAAACAGCACCAATGGTCTCATCCTGTTAACCTCTCTGGCTATTAAGGATGAAGATCTTTTAGTGGGAAATATATTTGTATGTATAATGTGGATTCCTCCAGTAGCTGGATTTAGACAGTTAGTCTACTCAGTGGCTGGCCCCAGGATCGCTGGGCTGTCTAGCTGCTGGCTGCAGGATGTACGAACCCTCAAGGCTGCAACCCCACACCAACTGCTGGTAAGGATCCCATCACACACACTGCTGTAGCTAGGCTTAGGCACCCAGTCCATCCAGTAGCTAGCCCTGGATCCTCGCTGTCCCAGCTGCCTCTCACAAAGAGGTGCACACAACACACACCCATACAAATGGCTGTCTCAGGCCCCAGACCTCATGGTCTCTCTGCCAGTTGGCCTGACCCCCTGGTCCCGCTGGTAGCCAAATCCCCCGAGTGCATAGCTCCCAGAGCATACATCTGGTTGCCAAACCATTTGATGGACTCACCAGTTAGTCTGGCTTCACCTTTGCCAGCCATCACTCACTGACATGCACACCCTCACTTGCTCCCGTTGCTGGCACACCACATGTACAGATACTGTGACCTGTTGTCTGGCACACAGCTGTCTATACACACAGCATGCACATGATGCAGAGACCCTCACCCAAGAAGCAATGGAATTTGGTAGAAAGCCAGGCCTTTTTATACCAGTATCTCTTAAGATTTAAATATAGTGTGTACTACTGTTCACAGGCACTAAACGGGGAGGCCTTATTAGAATGTATGTTCAGGACTGAAGTATCTGATGTTACTTGTCAAAAGTTTTGTTGCAGTGTGACTCTCTGCAATTAACTCTTTGCAACTGATTAAAAGTTTTCATATCAAAGGTATTCTTTAACAATTAAAAGAAAGCTTGTGTGTTATTGAAAACTTAATAAGCTAAGAACAGTTAGGGTGTATTTTTGGCCTTTTGGTGACACTATTTCTGTTACTTAACACAAAACTTCCTTGGTTATACAAGTGAAAGTTCTCCTTGTTGGGAAAAAATTGGAGATAGTACATAACTGAGAGAGCCAGCCATACAACACAGCTTTTCAGTTTTTTTAGACTAATCTGTATAAAAGTCATTAGTGAGATACCCAAATCTAGGGGTCTTCATTGGAACACTCTTAATAATAAATGGAAGTCTCCAGTTTAGCCTGTTCCTTAATCCCTGCTACCTCAAATCACCTTTGTTTCCTTTCTGCCCTCCCCATCCTCCTCATCTGTGGATTGCTTTCAAAGGCTCTCATTATAATTTTTCTTAATGAGCTGGGTTTCTAATTATAGAAAGAAGACAAGACAAGCTGTTACTTGTATTAATGGTAATGGAAAAGGGAACACCATTAAACTTCTAGGTTTTTTTTAAAAGTTTTGTTTCATGATTGCTCTAACACTAATAATGAAATATTACCTCCCATGTTACCCTATTACTTCAAGGAATTTATGTAGTTGCCCAAATTAATCTGTTTATTCCTTTCATTTAAAACATGTGAATGAACTTTTTTCCCAACTATTGTCTTACTGAACCATTTCAGATTATTCTTTGTGCTTTAATATTTTTGTATATCTCTTTTCCTTTCACCAGAATTCTGTTTTGGACAGACTGGGATGCAAATTTTCCTCGCATTGAATCTGCTTCTATGAGCGGAGCGGAAAGACAGATCATATATAAAGATATGGATACTGGAGCCTGGCCTAATGGCCTTACTGTAGATCACTTTGAAAAAAGAATAGTATGGACAGATGCCAGGTAAAGTGATAACAGTATTCTTACTATCTGTTTATAAATTCTTATTCTTGCATACAGAAATGTAAATTACATGGTAAGTGGATGTAGTTACATATATTATGTGCATAGAGTCTTGAGTGCAAATGTACAGTATGTACATTTCTTGAATTGCATTACTGTTATACATAATGTCTCCATGGTCTGTACCAGCAGACCTTAATGGCCCTGACCAGGCTTCTCAGACCTCTTCCCCCCTGCACCCCGCCAATGGTCCCCGGCGCCCATTTCAGCTCAGCCCTGGAGCTCAGCCCCTGCCTGAGTGACACCACTGGAGCACCAGTCTCCAACCTAGCCGCAGCACTGCCTGGCAGTGGGCCCTGTTAGCCAAGATCCCAACCCACAGGGTAGCTTCCTGGCCTGACCCTGTCTTGTCACAAGCTTTTCTGGTGATTTGGACTCTTGGTTGAACCTGGCTGCTGCCCCTGGAGCCTGCTTGCTTGCCTCACTCGGGGACAGTAGGATGTGGCCACGGACAGTGCAGCCTCTGCCTTGCCAGCTGTGGGATCATCCATGGTTCCTGGCTCCCTCTGCCTTAGCAGTCACCCATTTGTCCTGCCTGACACTTATACATGGAAGACCCAAGCTATTCCGCTATTTTGTTCCATAAGTTCATCTGAATGGAAACTGATTTTTCTGCTCTATTTTCACAGCATGGAGGTAAATTTGAATTTTAAAACAGTATACAACCAAACCAGTATTTCATATTTGTAGTTAAATAAATAATGTGAACTAAATCATTTCTGAAGTTAGTGATTGCACTGTAAACCTTCTTTGGTCTTACCAGTATGTAAGAGTAAGGTTTTATACATTTTGCACCAATGTCATAATGGTTGTGTGATTTTTATTTTATTTTTATATAATCATAAATTTGGGGTTATCTTGTAGATCGGATGCCATTTATTCTGCATTATATGATGGAACCAGCATGATAGAGATTATACGGGGTCATGAATATCTTTCTCATCCTTTTGCTGTTTCTTTATATGGGAGTGAAGTATATTGGACAGATTGGCGGACCAATACACTTGCAAAAGCCAATAAATGGACTGGCCAAAATGTCAGTGTAATACAAAAAACAAGCGCTCAACCGTTTGATCTTCAGATATATCATCCAAGTCGTCAACCACAAGGTGACTATTATAGAATAATTCATTATTATGTATATGAGGAGGAACGATATTATTTTTATATACAAATATTTGTATATGAATTTGCCTTGAACTGAAAATTCTTAATTGTCTTATTCAGCACTGATGTTCCTTAGGTGGTAATAGAATCTTTAGTCAAACCAGAAGTTCGTGGGATCAGTGTCTGTGAATATTGCCCGTTTTGACTCTTATTCCTGATCTGTTACAAATACATTGCAGAAGCACATTTATTTAAAAGGCTTCAAGCTAACTTATTTTTTTAACTGGAGTAACTAGTCTAACAAAAGTAAAAATAACAGTATTAGCTGTCTTTCTCTTGCTTCTCTTCAGAGGAAGATGAACTTTTCTGTGAAATAAATTGTGTATATAATTCTTAGTTGTTAGTCATAGAATCATAGAACCATATAATGTTTGGGTTGGAAGGGACCTTAAAAACCATCTAGTTCCAACCCCCCTGCCATGGGCAGGGACACCTTCCACCAGACCAGGTTGCTCCAAGCCCCATCCAGCCTGGCCTTGAACACTTCCAGGGATGGGGCATCCACAGCTTCTCGGGGCAACCTCTGCCACTGCCTCACCACCCTCACCAGGAAGAATTTCTTCCTTATATGTAATCTAAATCTATCCTCTTCCAGTTTAAAATAGGAATGCTTTTATCTCTCCTGAATCTTTACCATGTATTTGCCAAAAATCTTTTCTGCTTGTTTCTAAGGTCTTTTATGTTACTGTTAGCTCAGCCCAAAAGAAGTACACACTTACCTACAGCGCTCAGGAGGCTAAAAGGAAGTACAGCCACCTACAAAGTTCAGCTGACGGATAACAGCTTCTTAAGCTATTCAAACTCAGACCCATGTTGGGGCCCCAGAGCTGAAGGCAATACTGCAGTAGGGGGTCTCACCAGAGCGGAATGGAGGGGCAGAATCCCCTTCGTCAACCTGCTGGTCACGCTGCTGGTGATGCATCCCAGGGTACAGTTGGCTTTCTGGGCTGCCAGCGCACATTGCTGGGTCATGTTGAGCTTCTCATCAACTAACACCCCCAAGTCCTGTGTATATATAGGCAGTTTACATATGTGAATGTATATGTTCATTTTTCCCCTGATTTTTATAGTTTTGAGTTCAATGTTACATTGTGACATGCTTGAGATACCACCAGCTGCATTTTCTGTTAGTAAATTTAAGTTCTGTTGTTATAGGGCTGTCCTGGATTCAGCTGGGATAGAGTTAATTTTCTTCCTAGTAGCTGGTACAGTGCTGTGTTTTGGATTTAGTGTGAGAATAATAACAATAACACACTGATGTTTTAGTTGTTACTGAGCAGTGTTTACACTAAGGACTTTTCGGCTTCTTGCACCACCTCACCAGTGAGTAGACTGGGAGGCACAAGAAGCTGGGAGGAGACACAGTCAGGACATCTGACCCAAACTGGCCAAAAAGGATATTCCATACCATACTAACTTTTTTACCATTATTATTGTTATTATTATTTTCCCTTCTTTTTCTGTCCTATTAGACTTTCTCTATCTAAACCAACAAATTTTACATTTTTTTTCCTGATTGTCTTCTCCATCCCCCTGTGGGACAGGGAGGAGTAAGCAAACAGCTGTGTGATGTTTACCTGCTTGCTGGGTTAAACCACAACGGTCCTTTTTGGGAAAACCTGGATCAACTGCTTGGAGCTATGCCAATCAAGCTGGCCCTGCTCAATCAAAACTTTTACCTGCTATAGAAGGGGATAAAGTCCCTGTAGTGCACACAAAAAATATGCTGGGGAGGACAATCTGGGTTATTTCTGCCTTGGGCAAAGGTAAACCCATCCTTGGGATTGCTTTTGCTCGTGGTCCTGGATTGCACTTGCTGGATAATGTGGAAGGATGGGGAAGTCCGACGTGTACCTCAAGGGGATTTGATTTGAGAATAGCCAATGATTTGAATTGTATTATGTTAATTGCTGTATAATACTGTATGTCATCACTACTGTGGTTGCTACATGCCATATCAATGGTATTATAGTAAAAATTACCCCAATTAATGAAGAACTAATTTTGATGAAACTGGGCAAAGTGTAGCGATGACAGAACCAGACAAGCCCAGTGGTGATGGAACCAGAACTGATGTCAACATGCAATAATCCAACACTACACACCATCTCTCCTACCCTGAAGGACTACTATGACAGATAGAGCCCAAAGTCATGGACTAAATGAACTCAACAGACATTTTAGAGGGACAGCCCATAGACTAAGGGAATTATATCTCTGTGTGTATATCAAAGGACAGGAAAGGTGGTGGTGATTAATTAGGATATATTGAAAACTGGAGGACCTGGGAATGACATAACTGGTATAGAATAAGGAGTGAATATCTTTACCAGCTGGATATCCTTAGATATCTAGATAGCCTTGGATATCTGTACCAGCTAAGGAAGAAAATTAAGTCTATCCCACCTGAAACCAGGACAAGGGCACATCTGGGCTGTATCTAGCTGTAGCTATATAGCTATGGCTTCTAGCTGTAGAAACTCTTGGAATGTTCCATGCAAAATACCAATGCTGAAAAAAGAATTGAATATGTGTTTTTACTGGGAGCTACAACAAAAGACAAGTGACTTAATTTATATGTAAATACAGGAAAGTAAGAAATACCACTGGAGGATGACCACCAATTAGTTACAGAATGTTCCATGATCTCTGGATAAATTTCAACTCTTCCACGAAAAAGTTGATTATAATAGAAGCTACTTTAGAATTCATATCACGTGTACCTGTTATTTTTAATATTAGGAAATTATATTTTGTTTTCATTCTCACCCAGGGTTTGTAGTGCTCAATAAGCTATTCAGACTTTTATGTTAGTAGGTTCTGAGCAATCTTTATTTGAAAACATTAAATCCTGACAATTTGGTATGGCTTTGTAAATGTCTTAGAACCCAGTTCTGCATTAGTTAGATGTAGAAGACCATGTATATAGTTCCAATATAAATGAGTACCAGCAAGTATAATTCTCCCTGCACACTAGATATTCAAAAGATTTGAAAATACTCTCTTAATAGCATGCTTTGAAAAAAGGAGAGCAATGAATACAACTTACTGTTAGTTCATGAGTCTGGGCACGATAACAACTGTGATAAGGACTCACAGTGAATAAATCCTAATCTACCTTGCAATGTGTGACATATGCTGTCAGCATACATTTTTCTGATGGTTTTATTTTAAAATAATAATGAATTTCCATTAAAGAAGAATGTCACTGTTTTTCAGTGGATGTCAAGTTCCTTGGGCTTTATTACTTGTTTAAATCAGCCTCTTAATGAGAATTTACTTTTTAGGCCAGGGTACTGTTCTAACAAAGCTGTCTGACTTCTGGACAAAAAAGTATGTATGCCCAGGATCTTAAAATATGGGTGGAGTAAATATGCATCTCTGCACACCCCTTTCAAGTAATGTTTTTTGCTATTTTTTTTTTATAATTAGTCACTTCCTGAACTTTGGGATTTGAGGAACTGTGTTCTGTATTTGGTGTTTTCACAGTAGCAGTAGAGTTCCCATTAGCCATTTGCTGTCAGAAAAACCCAGCTATTTTCTGTTTGAGCTGGGGCCAGGCAATGCCTTTAGAGAGAGACTACATCCTAGGGAAACATCAGTCAGTATTCCATAGTCACAGATACCTTGGCCTCAAGGCAACGTAAAAGCTCTAGAAGAGATTTCAACTCTTATTTTCTGGAATCAAGAAGTTCAAATATCAAGTTGTGTAATTGATGTTTTTATTTTACGGTGTAGAAAGCACCAGATTCTGATTTATGATTGGCCTTCTGGGTTTGCTCTAAATTATTATCTTTCAATGGAAGCAGTTTCTTTTTACACATCTGCAGTACCTAGCTTTATTGGAGCTAGAGAAAAAAGGTGATACTATGCGATTACTTTTTAATTTTTCTTTTGAATTTGTAGCAATTTTGCCATAAAGGAAACAAGATAGCATACAGTTCAGAATCTCAAAATAAAATTGACAGTAGATTTACATTGCGAAATGTCAATATAAATATAGCACTGAAGGATATATTTTAGTCTCAGACCCATAGGTATACATCTGGGTCATCTATTTAGGTGAAAGGATATTAGCTTTTAAAATACATCATGCAACTTATTTTGGTTGAAATAAATTAGAGAAGAGCTAAGTAAAGTCCTGTAGCCTAAGGCAACGTTATTTCAATTAATCTAGGACAGATGCTAATTTAAGGTAGTAAAGTTATAGTGAGATATTTCTATGGATAATAGGTTCATCTGTCAGTAAACCACAGGGGATTGTGGAAGACTTCATGACCTAATGCAGAATGATGTCACATCTCAGGAATATGAGTTTTAGACCTACTCATCTTCACAGAATCAAAGCTGTCAGGAAAGCTATTAACATAGCAAACACAGGTTTTCTAGGAAAGATATTTTCTCAAGTACCACTATGTTTTAAAAAATCCACTTCCTGCAAAGAACAAGGTCTTCTATTTTAGGTACAAGAAGTTGTACTTGTACCATGAGATCTACTACTGAGGACAGTGATGAGAGGAGTAAATATAGTGCATTGGAAAGATCACAGCTTGAGAACAGTTAGAAAGCTGTGAATTCCTCACACATTCCTCATTTTTTTGCATTTCTCAAGAGTATTACTTTGAATTTAAAAAAACCATGTCCATGGCATTATTTTTCTTTTTGCATATTGAATTTATATAGACTAAAAATCAGCTCAAACAGTATAATAACTGCTGAATATAAAGTATATTGGTACCACTGGGCTTTTTTGTAATTAAAACATGAAAAATATTTAGCTTCATAGCACTGCTTTGTTACAATATTCTGTTGAGACTTGGATTGCCAGCTGTTTAAAATAAATAACGTTTTACAGAAACATAGCTTAAGATGCACACGATCAAAGTTTTAGCTATTTTATTTTGGGGGGTTTTTACAAATTTTATTAGTTTGAGATTTTATCACAACCTTCTCGTGTACATTCTTTTTACTTCAAAATCAGCAGCAAGATTGGTATATGTATTGTAAATCACGCAAAATGTTTACAATTTTTCTGAACTTTAGATTAGATTCCTTTGTGCCATGTGAAAGTTCCATTTTTGTTTTAGGAATTATAAAAGCAGTCTTTCCTACCTTTGTCTAAACTCAGCATCCTGTCTTTGACAATGGCTGATCAGTGCCTACAGGGAAGTAGGGACCTGGGGGAAGGTAACAGCCATGCTCCTCCTGTATAGCCTGTCAGCTTCCAGTAACCTGTCACTCGGTGATTTTTGAACCTAAAATGGTATCTTTGTGCTTCAAAGGCTTTAGAACCTTTGACTAATTCTTCTTGCATGAACTTTTCTAGTTAACTTTTGAACTTCCACAAACTTGGTGTCTACATTTTTCTGGGCAGGTGACTCTGGTGCGTAACTATGCACCGTATGAGAGAGAACTTCATCCTGCATGTTTTGACCCTAACACCTGATAATTCTGTTCATTGTGTCCTAGCTCTTGTAGTAAGAGGGGTATTGGACAGCCATTTCATAAATATGATTATAATCTGTTACTTCAGAAAAGGATCTTGGAGGTATGGATGCTATTTCAGTGCTCATTCTTGAGTGTGAATTTGAGATTGGTTTTTTTCCCTTGTGTGTTACTATACATGTATTGAATTTTATCAGACGTTTTATTTCTCAGTCACTCTGTCATGTAACTCTTGTGTAGCTTTTCATACTTAGATTCAATTTAATCCTTTGTCACCGCTTTTCTGTTACTTTAACAGTAAATTTCTGATGTTTTGAAAGTTTTCTATAAAACATGGCACCTGCTCCTAAAAGTACTATTGCCTTAGGCCTTTCCACATAGTAATACCCTAGCATTACAACATTTGTTATTCTTTTATATCTGCATTTCTCATCTGCCTAGTATGGCAGTAAGGTCAGTCATTCCAGGCAGTCTCTTCTTAGTTTTGCACTCACATCATTAATTACAGTTTTCTCTGTACCCTTTCATCTCAAAATGTACACGGAGGGGTGGGAAACAGAGATTCTTTAACAAGAGCTTCAGAATTACCATAAAGCTATCATTCTGCATAGAACAGAGTGTCATGAAGAATTGTGCTAACTTCAAGCTAATAATTTTTTTTTCCATGATGAATATGTAAATTTTTGTTAGATGGTATACTGACTAATTCTTCAATGAATGATTAAAAATGGAAGTAGAAATAGTGACTATAGGAAATAAATATCTATTTTAGAACTAATGCATTCTCTGATCAGTCCTAACTTGCAAATTCCAAAGATTAATGCTAAAGTAATGAGATATAATCAGGTAGTATAAAGATTTTAACTTGACTGAGTGCAGCAGAAGGATCTTTGACCCTATGAAAAGCAATACTAGAAAAGGTATTGACAGTGAGCAGAGGATTAGATCTGTAACTAGTTTTAAATATGAATAGGAATAGATTGTCAGCAATTTAAAAGTATCCTTTTGATGTAACTGTAATGCATATATTTGAAGATGTAGGCAGAATTTAATCATGTCATGCACCATTAAAGTATAAGATTAAAATTTTGCCTAGCTAAAATCTGATACCAAGAAGGGGCAGGGTCAATATGAAGTTAATATGGAGGGTAAGTTGGTTCGTAGTGAATGCATATTCAAAGGTGTCAGAGTAACTGTTTGTTTGTCAACTGGTGATAGAATGTCTGAGGGGTTTTTTTAGGCTTACTGGTCAAGAAAAATAAAAATGTAAATAATGTTTTAGAGAGCAGTCAAGAAGAAATATGATGACAAGCAGTGACACAGGTATATCTGTGCACAGTACTGTAGGAGAAATATTGACAAGCAATCAGCAGTGGAAATCAATTAAATAATGCAAAAGGCTGGCCAGTTGGTGAAAATGCCAGTTCTGTGGGTTGCTGTGATCAAAAGGAAAATAGATTGGTGGAAGTTATTAGGAAAGGAATAAAGAACCACAGCTAGTAAACTGTGATGCTGTATAAATCCCGATCGCTCCCATATCTTGAATACTGTATACAGATCATATAAAAGATGCGGAGAAAGCTTGACAGGCTGATCAAGAGTATGGGAAAGGTTTTTCTATGAGGACGGGTAAGCTGATGCTTCTTGAAATACAGCTTATAGTCAGGCTTCTGTGTGATGGCGGTCTGTGAAATCACGAATGGCATGGAGAAGGTGAATAAGGAATAGTTATGTGGTTATTCGCAATAGAAATAGGAGGAGGTGTTAGGACTATCACAAGGAAATAAAAGAGCCAAATTTTTGAGAGTCAAAGCAATAGCATACCTATTTGCCTTCAAGAGAATTAGTTCTTATTAGAAAGAAAAGAATAGGCTTAGCTGTTATTCAGTGAAAACAGTGTGAATATGAAAGGAATATATACATATGTGCTGGTATAAGTAATTTTTACATTATGGTAGTTTACTCCTCCAATCGTGCATGCATGTGGAAACAAATACATCTGCTTTATAACACTTCTTTTTCCACCAATTTTGTATTCTATTATATATGATGATCTTTGAGGCTCTTCCAACCATTATGATTCTATATATGAAAGGAGTTGTGATGCAGACAGATAGTACACAAATTGTGCTGTCTGCTCTTTGTTGATGCTTGTAGCACACTTTAACCACAACTCTTTCTTCAACATGACCTTTAACCAGCATGCCTTTTATTTTTTCTTCTGTATGTTCTTCTATTTGAATTCCATCCTCAAATAGCAACTTCGATAGAGTGGAACATAATGCACTACTTGAATAGAAAGACAAGATGGGGATTATTATTCTTAGGCCCTAAGTAGATCCTTGCCACAGATGGTCATATGCAAATAAAGATGTTGAGGTTCCACTGAAATTACTGCTTTGTATTGGCAAATAAATTAAAGGAAATACTGTTTTGCAAAACGTATGACTAAATTTTAAATCTCGCAGGAGCAGTGTTAAGAATGCCAAAAAATGCAGGAGTTTGAATTACTAGGTGGTCTCCTGAGATCTCTTACAACCTAAATGATTATATGCTCTCTTTCACAATATTGTGAAAACCCTAAATTATATTTTGGTTTTGAAGTGTAGTTCATAGGGATAGATTGCTTATATTTACTAATATTAATAGCCATTAATAATTGATTCTTACCCTGAAGGAAGGGTTCCTGGAACCTTCTTGACTTCAGTCTCTTTTCCTCAGCTACTGTTCTTTTATCTTCCACATGAAGTTGTGAACTTATTAAAAGAGATCACCCCAGATTTTTTCACATTGTTACTACAGATTAAAGAAAAGTGATGTTGTTAAATAAACATTTCTCTATTGTATTTTTTGGGAAAGACAGAATCAAATATAGTAATCGCATAAGGATAATAAGGTATTTACAGTCCATTAGCAGTCAAAGATGATATTAAATCATTAAATTTTTAAGAATATTGGCCCAGCTGCGTTTTTGTCAGAGGTTTAGAAGAGCTGACAGAGAGGATATGGGATGTTGCTTTTTCATAAACCTTGGAATAGCAGGAGAAGCTGCAAAGGCTGGAAGAGTGCTGAGTGGCCTCCCCTGCTGCCAGTGTTTGAGAGGGGCAAATGGGATGACTTTACAGAAAACTGTAAAAGCCTGTGATTTTTTGATAGAATGATGGGAGATGCTGGATAGAGTTTCATTAACATGTTTATCCAAGGTTTTGAAAGTTTCATTCTTCCTGTAGTACTGGTCTGACAAGTAAGTAGGATTCAGGAGTTGGTGGGTAAATTTAAGGAGTCATGCATTGATGAAAAATAAATAGTTCAATGAAGCAAACCTTGAGTTTGTCTTCAAATTTTAGTTCTTGAGTTTGAGCTAAATTTATTTCACAAAGAAATTCATACATCAGACTTCTCTAGTTATCGAAGTACTTATATTGCAGGTTAGCACAGCGTTGGAGGAATATATTCTAAACTAATTGATTTTGTTAATTATAAGTTTGTCTTTATGAGTCAGTCATTCCCACTTCCCCTTTCATCACTGTTAATTCTCTTAATTTTTTTTTAGTAAATGGAAAAATCAACGTTACTTTCTATTTATGCTTGGAATGTCTCTTCAGGAGTGCTGTGGAACTGTGTGTGTGTATAATAATGAATGAAGATAATAAGAATAGTTTCTAGGTTTTTAAAAGACTAAGAAGTCTCCTCCAGTCAGCTTGCTTTCTGCTCTTTAAACCAATTATAGCATATCTAGTTCAATCAATGAACTATAGAAAGCAACTTGAAAAAAGTTACGCTTAGGAGAGGTTTTTCTTTTGAGAAAAGTAGAAATACTTTGGCACATTTTTTCAAATTCTTTGCATGTTAGATTTCCACCTAATGTTCTAGAAGGTAGATCAAATTGAGAGGGAACATTGAATTTGCCAAAATTCATCGCATAATCTAAGCTTTGACTCTTCACAAAACAAAATTTGATGTTCAGGTCCTCATCATATTAACATTTTTTTATCCCATATGTCCTGGTTAGGAGTGTACAGTTCTTTATATTTAATTGTTATAAATAGACTGCAAAATGAATATCTTACTGGGAAAAATTTATCCAGTGGCTTCACGAAGTTACAATGATAAATTTTGTGGCTGTACTAACAAGAAAAAAAACAAAAAACAAAAACCAAAAACGCTTGGAGTTGAATTTTCACCACTTTCTCACCAGTGTAGCTTATGCTAATTTGACAAACCTTAGTTCCAAAAGGTGTTTTTATATTTTGTGTATTTCCTTGTTCAATTTTAGCTTCCAATCCATGCGCTGCTAATGAGGGCAGAGGTCCATGTTCTCACATGTGTCTGATCAATCACAACAGAAGTGCTGCATGTGCCTGTCCACATCTGATGAAACTGTCTTTAGACAAGAAAACATGTTACGGTAAGTTTTCCTCCCAAAGTCTGGCAATTGTATTGATTTTAGAATATTGAACAGGGCAAATTAAAATGTGTAATCTTAAAACTATCTCTACACTGCATGTTAATGATGTATTTTATAGGGGCATCTACTTTTTGAGAATTGATGATTTATTCTAATATGAGGTGTGTGGAGCTTTGGTATTTGTTACCACAGCCATTTTTTTCTGTTGCATATGTGTATGATACGTTAGTAAAACTTATCTCTGCAAAACAGAAGGCTTCATACTGCAAAGTGCGTCATCAGAAAATGATGAGTCAGGTAAACTGAATAACAAAAAGGTACTTAATAGCTTAAATCTCTACCTGTTCTGCTAAAATTGTCTTAGTTTCATTTTAAGGATTAAGAAAATGAAATGAAAAGTAAATATTAGACATGCAGCTTTGCAGGGGAATTTTATAAAAAATTACAATAAACACTTTTAAGCTATAAAAGCCCTAAAAATGTCAAATAATTGTGTCTCTTACCTGTAAAACCTTGTACTGCATTACTCTTTTCAGTGTTGATTAATGTTTAAGAAATATCAAAAAAAATTTTGTCATATCAAGGATATTGCAGGGAAAAAAGTTACCTTTACTGTTCATTCACAGACATTTGCTCTAATTAGACTTTTGAGATAAAAATACAGAGTTCTGTTTTCCTTTAATGTATCACCCTTTTTCATTAGTGGATGTCTAAATTAGAACAATCAATATGTTCTTTTTCTTCCACCTGTGACTTTCACTGCTTAAACATAAGTTGTGGAATTCCTCCCAAGTTTTGTTGTTTGCTGCACTTCCCCGTTATGGTGATACTCTGTTTCCCTGAGATACAAAATGTTAATATCTGTTACAATGTACAAATGAAACAGTAATTTTTGATTGGGATAGTGGAGTAAAATTTTTAAAAGATAATTTTAAACATTTTTCCTTAAACATTCACAAGACTATATTGATTTAGTGGTGTAGTAACGTCATGTCCAGCATCCAGAATTAATATATTTTTCCTGTGGATTTTATGCTCTAACATATTTTATTTCTCAAGTGTCATTAGGCTGCAGGCTTTCTGGAGATGTTAAATCACTGATATAAGCTGTATTTACACATTTGTAAAGTGATCTCAAATGAATTACTTGGACTCCTGTCAGCAAAGTTGTGAAGAGCATGAGGAGTGATGTTTTCCTTTTTGTCTAACAGAAAGGAAGAAATTCCTTCTTTATGCAAGGCGTTCAGAAATAAGAGGGGTGGACATAGAAAACCCATACTTCAACTTCATCACAGCCTTCACTGTTCCTGACATTGATGATGTGACAGTCATCGATTTCGATGCTGTTGAGGAACGCTTATACTGGACTGATGTGAAAACACAGACCATCAAGCGTGCCTTCATTAATGGGACTGGCTTAGAAACCATTATTTCAAGAGGTAAATAGCATAACATTGAAGTGACAATAATTCATTATAGGTAAATGTGTGTTATAAGTATGCCAAAAGAGGAGCATACAAGTTCTTGTTAGGTGTACCTTTCACTAATATTGGATAATTGATCTAAACAATAAGAAAGCACATTTTGTTTAGGATTCTAGTTCATTTAATTGATCCATAATTCATTTTTATTTAAATAAATTGGGAAGTGATTGTAACATTGCTTTTATACAAGATTGAAACGTGTAGTAAATGATGGAAATAATGTTTTCTGGGGAAGGTAGAAAGAATAAAGATGAAAAGCAGAAAAATAATGGTACCCTGACATAGCTTCGCATTGAAGAATTTCATGTGGATTTCCTGTGTCCTTTGGCTATCTGGGCTGACCTAATGAAGCAATTGGCTCTATCAGAGTTATTTTTTCTTTCCAGTCCATGTAAATCTTTCAACTTTGACACCTTTGGTGAAACACATGATATGGTAGCTTTGTGATTTTGGTGATACATAACTTTGGTTATGCATTTACCTGTTGTCTTCTTGCAACATGTGTCATGTTCAAACTGATTGCACCCAGGCTGTTTGCACTACTTGAATGCCATAAGGGAGTGCAGTCCTGATTCTGTATCTTTGAATCCTGTTACTTACAGCAATAAAAGGAAACTTAAAGTATGGCAAATGGAAAATCATGGCTGGCAGTTTTCTCTGCAGTTAATGCTTTCATTTTCCAGCACTTTTGCTATGTGCTTCGAATACAGAAAATTAATGGCTTGTAATGTCTGTACCTGATTGCTTCAACCCTATGTCAGTAGCTCTGGTATTAAAGTGGTACCATTTGTTGCCCTTGCTAGTGGTGGGTTTTTGTTTGCTTGCTTGTTTCCAACTGCTGTCAGTTCTTCTCCTGGCAGCCCATGATGTTCTTCTGTTTTGTAATATACCTACCTGCCTAAAGATAGGAAAACTGTCTGACAGGGACCATCTGGAGGAAAATTTTGCAAACTCTGGTTCCTCAGCTGCTAAATGTGTTTGAAGGCGAAGAGGAGAAAAGAAATAACTCACTTCTTAAGATCAAACCTTTTCTCATTTTGAGAACAGATTTTAAAAAATGAAAATATTTCTTTAGTTGATTATTTGGGGATTTCAGAAAATTAATTAGAACTCTGCCCCTGGTACAGATTTTTCTCATTTTTTGAGAACAGAAATGAAAATATTTCTTTAGTTGATTATTTGGGGATTTCAGAAAATTAATTAGAGCTCTGCCCCTGGTGTCACTTTAGAAGAAATTTGTTCTGTATTAGCATGTTTTGGGAAATCAGTGGAAAAATACAGCAATATCCCCACTTGCCTGTGTAGATGGATGAATTTATTTTGTGTGGGTATCTTTATTTTTCCCTTGCTCTCTCAGAGACAATTTTATTAACAATTGGAGATGTTTTTCAGTACCAGTAACAAGAACAAGGTTTAGACTGCTTCTTAGAGCTGCTCTTTACATCATGAATTGAGGTACCCAAAAGAGGAAGAGGAGTTGTTTTTTCAAATAGTAGTAGAATACAAACATAGTTTACTATATAAAATATATAGTGAAAAATTGCAAAACTTGTCAAGAAACTTAATGAAACTTAAAGAAACATGCTATGTGAGAGTGTTTCTGTTTATCAGTATTCTTTCATATTCTTTTTCTTGTGGTAGCTTCTCTGGTGGAATTGTGTTGGGGGTTATTTGTGCCAGATGTAACTTACTATATATAAAATTTGCAAAATTACCATGTTCTGGCACATCAAAACATTATAAAGGCTACTTATTATGTGTAAATGATCTCGTTTGCTTACAGTTACATTTTTATACTTGTTATAAGAACATAAGAAGCTTTGTAAGCACATATTAGTGGGATTCTCTTTGGATGAAGTCTTATGCCAATGTCACAAAGATGCCAAAGTCATACTTTAATCTTTTTAAGAGTATGAAATGCTTATTTTCTCCAACCAAAAAAACCCAAAAAGGCAAGGGATCATTTTAAAATGGGTCAAAGCTATGTATTCGGTGTCCGTTGTTGCATTTTCTAAAGCTGGCAAACTTCCTAGTGCCCAGTCACTGTTTCACCTTATGTATACGCAAGCCAGTCCACAGCCACATCCATGTTAGTTTGTCAATGACAATAGTTCTGTCAGTGGAAGTAACCATGTTGAGAAAGAGATAGTGTATAAACTATGAACTATAATAGAATCATTAAATCACCCTTGGCCTGTTTCCTCGTCTACAAAGATGCTGGCCAATATGAACCATTGCTATGCCAAGACAGAGCAGCATGTTGGTATCTAGATCTTGAGCAGTGATTTTATACCCAGCATTTAACACAGATACTAACATATATTAACTTTTTTAAACCAATATCTTGCTAAGGAAGACTATCACATACAAAGACACTTACAAAGCTACCAAATTAATCGGATCTTACTCATGTTTTGCTACCTCAGGTAATACTGGTGGTGTGGGTTAACCCCAGAAGGCAGCTAAGCCCCGCACTACTACTCCCTCACTCCCTACAGTGAGATGGGGAAGAGAATCATAAGGGTAACTGAGAAAATTCATGGGTTGAGATAAAGACAGTTTCGTAGGAAAAGCAAAAGCTACATGTGTAAGCAAAGCAAAATGAAGAATTCATTCAATACTTCCCATCGGCTGATGGATGTTTAGCCATTTCCAGGAAAGCAGGGGAGTAAGCTGGAGTCTTCAAAGTCTTCAGAAATAAAACCAAAAAACTTCTTCAGTCATGTAGCTACTTAACTACTTATGTGCTATAGAACTATGCTATAGACCAGTGGGTTTAATTCAGATATTCTGTACTGAGCCTTCCTGATGCTAAAGAAGGAAGTGGACTTTTAAGCTTCAGCATAGTTTTGTTTTAGAAAGCCACTCTGATATTCTATATGTAAAGTATAATGCACAACTTAAAGAAATACGAGCTTTCTTCTTATGTCATAAGTAATATTTATGTTTATTAAATATGATTATCGAACTTCATAATGGAGGCTAACTCATTGTATATCATCATCCCTTAAAAAAAAAAAAGTAACAAACCACACTCTTTAATAGTGCACTGAGTAATAAATGCATTCTTAAGTAGAAAAATACACTGCAAAAATTCAGCATCTGATTATTAATTTTGGACATAGATTTTATGCTGAATTTTAAAGTATTTATGGAGGATTTCCTGAATCTTCAGGGCAATTTTTATGTTCTTATTGCAAGTGTATCAGGCCCAAGAAGAAAAATAATGATTATTAATGCTTGGCAACTAGTTTATAAATACATCTGAATAGAATATTGCACAATATTGTTAACAAATTGTAGAAGAAATTGTTTTGTTTTTTTTTTCCTCCAAGACTGAGAATAATCGAGAAGGAAAATCAAAAGAACAACTGCTTTCACTTTTTGCAGATATTCAGAGTATCAGAGGTCTTGCAGTGGATTGGATATCACGTAATTTATATTGGATTAGCTCAGAATTTGATGAAACACAAATTAATGTGGCACATTTAGATGGTTCCTTGAAAACCTCAATCATCCATGGAATCGATAAACCCCAGTGTCTTGCAGTTCACCCAGTAAAAGGGTAAGTTATTTGTGGGTTTAATAAATAACCTATGGTAAAACTCATCAGAAGATTTCTTCTTCGTTCAGACATTGAGTTTACCCATTCTGTTTTCTTTCAAACTTAAAGTAAATGCATGTTTGAAAGATTTTTCTGGTAATTTCTTAACTGAGTACTGCTTTGCTACCAAAGCTTACTGTTGATTAAATGGAATAGGTCGTTGTATGTTTTGCCTGCTTCTAAACTTAGGAATGTTTTTCGCTAATGATGCATTTAAAATACTGTGTACACAAAGCAACATTTTCAATATGTTGATTTTCTTCTTCAGTAAGCTCTACTGGACGGATGGTAACACAATTAACATGGCAAACATGGATGGCAGCAACAGCAAAATACTCTTTCAGAATCAAAAAGATCCTGTTGGTAAATACCTTTTTTCCTGCTTCTTTTTTATTTGATAGTGCTTTATCATGGACATTATCTTGAAATGCTATTTAAGTATACCATGATGTTTTTCATATGCTATATAACAGTGATAAAGACAGGCAGAAAGACATGCAAATCGCTGATGTACTTTTGTGTTTCACAATTTAAGATATTTTTTTGCCCATTCTATTTGAAATCTACTGTAGTGTGTTAAGTATAGCATTATTAACTTCTAGGATTACAGTAGACTGAAAGTGAAGGAGAACCTATCTGTATTTCTCAATCTTTAGATCACGGGTAAAAAAATGTAGAGAGCAGGGTTTTAATAAGTTATGAGTATATAGGAGAGGATATTTTAACTGTAAGTGTAGAACCTTCCTCACCAGAATCCCAGCTGCATGAACAAAAGATAATTTAGCTCTTACCTTTTCACATACAGAAAAGAGCAACAGTTGAAGCATACATTTCATATAATGACTTAGCCTCAGTTTTAGTGTTTGAGAATTTATATGATGATAAATTATGGCACTTTCTGGAAAAAAAAATGCTCTATATGTACTATTTATGCATTTTTGGTTCAAGTCCCTTTCTGTAATTTCATTTTTTTAGAGAGTTAAGATGGTTACGTCAATTGTTGTTGCCTTATTAATGGCCCATCAATAAAGCAATTACATTTTAAAGCATTTATGCGTTTTCATAACTGAATGCATTAAGCAAGCAGAAGCAAAAATTACTTAAATAATTCAATAAATTTGACATAAGAGCAACACAGCATGCATTTTAGACCTTAAATTCAAATAATTTTGTAGAAATTATGTGGTAACTGTTTTATTGTTGATTTGATGTTCTATCTGTATTCTTGAAGAGACAGTTACCTATTTATCTAGATAAAGAAAGACTGATAAACCCACTAATTTTAAGGTGGAGCATAAACACATTTAATAATATTACAACAATATTAAAAAGTAAGGGCATGTGCAACGTTTTGCACTGAATATGCTGTGCTCATAGGTGACAAGGTCCTAAACTGCAGACCTTATGGTTTCTGTTATTGGATTTGTTTTGAGTAACAGTAAAGCTCCTGAACCAAATACATGATAGAATGCTAAGTACTCTTGCCGCCCCCCCCGCCCCGTATCAGTACTGTCAAAGGCTGCACGTGCAAATCCACGTGGATTTTGTGATGTTTTTCTTCATGAACCTGTGCAATCTCACTGGTATTGGATGGACTATTCATGCAGTTAAACATTCCTGTAAACCCTGTAGGAATGATGCTTGTGACATAAGTTTTTAACTTCACCACAGAGCTGCAAGTCAGACAGCTTGCTTGCTTTCTGTAGTATTGGATTAATTTTTAACACCTTTGAGATCTGATAAGAGTTACTTGAAATAAGTTACATTCCAGATTGAAGGTTCTTACTTCATAGTAATGAGACCTATTGCATAATAAGGAGATCATAGAGATTTTATTGTTTTTCCTTTCATCTTGGCAGTCTGAAAGCATGCTAAATCATAAAGTATGTGAAGTGTAGAATATGTAGCATGTAAAGAGTGTAGATTTATGTATGTATGTATGTAAAGGGAAAATAAAGCTTGCCCCTGTCTGTTGCTGAAAAACTTTTTAATCTTGAATCAGCTTTATGGTCAGTTAGGATGGACATGGAAACAGATTGTGTTGCATGCCTGAGGAAGAATTATCAGATACACTATAGAGAAAGCAAGTATTAAATTTCCAATACCAAACTCTAAATTCAAATATATGCAAAATGCCTGTTTTAATGGTTTAAATTATTCTTACTGTTAGCATAAAGCATTCCCATGCCAAGAACAAGAAAACATTGCTGAAGAGCCAGAGAACAGCAGTCTTAAAACCTGAATTTAATATTTCATTTCGAACTGGGAAACTGTCTTTCTCCAGAAGTGAAACTCTAGTTCATGCAGTGCTACTTTTGAACATTTGGGGAGCAAGGTGGATGATCTAATAAGTGAGTTCACAGGTGGATTACTGAAAAAGACAAAAATATGACTTATTAGAGTTAGATATCCTGGTAGTCAGTGGGGGTTTTAGTTTTCTTGAGACATAACTTCAGAATTTAAAGAATGAGGGAAAGTTTTCCTATCTGTGACCTGAAGTATGCTGATGGATTTATTTCTGAATTTGAGTTCTATCAAAAGGAGGAGACTATTTCAATTAAAATATTTTGTATTAAATCCACAAGTATGTAGCTTGGAGATTTTTAAAAACTGATAATCTTAAAATGACAGATTGTGTCTCTTATTTTTGTCTGAACTAGTACATACTAGATATGAATTGCTAGTCCACTCTGCAGTTCTAAGACTCAAATACTGAGACTTATAGATTAGCTGAAAAAGGAACTAGTCGCTGGAGTTTCATTAAACTTCATTCTTATGGATTCAGAATTAGTGATTACTTTTATACTTTATGGGGCAGATCATTTGATTGTTGGTGTCTTGAACTTATGTTCAATTAAGCAGTTGTTCGTTATAAAACTCTAAAAATACAAACCATGCATCCATTGAATTGTTTTTAAGGAAATGGCTATTATTCAATTGTAGAGTATTGTATTCATAGGAAGTTTTGAAATAGCTTGGTTAAATAATCTTTAAAAACCTACAGAATCATTCTCTCAGCTACATTCAAAGGATTCTATAATTATAGGGAGATGTTGTTTGGGGTTTTTGTTTGTTTGTTTTTTTTAATAGAGTACATTCCTTTCTTCTGAACAAACTTGAGTTTCAGTTTTACTTGTGATTGTAGTACAGCCTTGTTTGCTGTTTTAGCAGTTCTTCGATTTTCTTGGCTGACTCTCTATTTGATTATTCCTTGCTAATTTGTTTTTCCTTTGAATATATGGCATAGTCTACAAACAAAATTGTTGCAGATGGAACCAAAAATCTTTTTGAGACTTGTTTAAAAAAAGTTATTTCTTAAGTACATGCATGCATTTAGCAGACAAATAGGGATTTCCTAATTTTAATCACTGTTTTTTCACCTGAAATGTAATCAGCCATAAACAGTTAAAAAAACCTGTCTTAAGTCACGAAGGTGGAAAATATGAACAAAAATTCCAAATACTCTTCCTGTAATTCATCTAAGCTGTAACAGCAGTGTCCAGCATTTAATTGATTTAGGTACTAAGAAAGAATCCCATCTTTAATATTCTTGGAACACACTTTCCTTAAGCTCCCACTGCTTTTTAGAGAACATTTACACAAGTAAAAATGAAGTTAGATGAACATCATTTAAACAGTAAGTATACAAAAAATGCTCTCAAGAGTCATTTCCTTGAACTTCAGGAATGCACTAAATTAAAATAGCAAACTTGATTTTCTGATAGTGGAAGCTAAGATCGCATTACTTACGTGGCTTTAAGATTGGAACCTCTGTGTATGAATTGCTGGAATAATCTTTGCAATATACTTTTTAAATAGTAGCATATTTCTGGAAATTTGAGTAAGGAAACTGGAAAATGCATGTGAAAACAGTGATGGCCTAAGTTATGGTAATATTTTTTTTTATAACACAACAGAATTCTCTGAGACCAATATTTTACAATGCACATATTCACATTGACTTTGGCAGCTGGGACATAAAGTGTAAACCAATCACACATGTTAGAATGTGTCATGAGTATGTGTGATGCTTATGGCTAGTAAATCACCTATTTTCATCAGTAAAAACAGGACAATTCCTGAAAAAATCTAAACAAACATGCTCTGCCTACATTAGAAAGAATGTATTTTCAAAAAGGTTGGTAATAGGTGGAATGACACAACAGGAAAATACTTTGGGAAGAAAAATACAGTAAACTTGGGTAGAAGGAGATTAGGAAAACGTAGTCTGCTGGGAGCTGATGGGGGCCTCCTGTCAGAGAAGGGAAGAATATCTTTGGTCATAGCCTTGCCGAGCTGGTGAAGAGGACTTTAAACTGATGTTGCCAGGGAAGGTGAACCTCAATCCATCCCACTCTTACCAGTTTGAGGCCAGTGCAAGCAGTAGATGCCCAGAGACTGGAGAGGGATCACAGGTCAGCAGGAGAGGAGATGAAGAGCAGCACAAAGGAACCCCAGCCACTCCAGTCAATAAGTCAGCTTCATCGGGGGCTCAGCTTAAATGCCTCTATGCAAACACATATAGCATGGGCAATAAAAAACAGGAGTTAAAGATGTGTGCACGTTCACAGGGCTATGATCTTATTGGCATCACGAGGATGTGGTGAGATGGCTCCTACAGCTGGAGTGTTGGAATGGAAGGATACAGGCTCTTTGGGAAGGACAGGCAGGGGAGATAAGGAAGGGGTGTTGTCCTCTATGTCAATGACCAGCTGGAGTGCATGGAGCTCTGCCTGGGGATGGATGAGGAGCCAAGCAAGAGTTTATGGGTCAGGATTAAAGGGAGGGCACGGACAGGTGATGATATAGTGGGGGTCTGCTACAGGCCACCTGACCAGGAAGAGTGAGCGGATGAGGTCCTCTATAGACAGATAGGAGCAGTCTCATGTTCACAAGCCCTAGTCTTCACAGGTGTCTTCAACCACCCCGATATCTGTTGGAGGAACAACACAGCAGGGCATATGCAATCCGTCCAGGTGGTTCCTGGACTGATTTCTGTGTTGTTAACTTCCTCCAAGTGATAGAGGAGCCAACGAGGAGAGGTGCTATGCTGGACCTTGTTCTCACCAACAGGGAGGGGCTGGGGGGAGAATGTGAAAGCTCAAGGCAGCCTCGGCTGCAGTGACCATGAAATGATGGAGTTCAAGGTCTTTGGGGCAGCGAGGGGGGCACACAGCAAGCTCACTGCCCTGGACTTCAGCAGAACAGACTTCGCTCTCTTCAGGGAGCTGCTTGGTAGAATACCCATGGGATAAAGCCCTGGAGGGAAGAGGGGTCCAAAAAGCCTGTTCGTATTCAAGGATCACCTCCTCTGAGCTCAG